ACTCGGTGAGGGATTAGGGCAGGGACAAGGTGACATTCTTTCATTTCATTTTTGTTTTCCTTTCCTCTTTTTTTCTTTTCCTTCTCTTTTCCTCTACTGATTTAAATTTTATTGTTGGAACTATTTTTTATTTTTTTTTAACCATTTTACTCTTGAGAAGCAATGTTTGACGTGCCAATCATGTGATTAGTTACCAGACATCTAGAATAGAATCTGTCAATAGAGATACAAGATGAACATAAATTGAGGAACCAAATGCAAAGAAAAATTGTTACAGGACTCAATGCACATTTAGAATAACGTTGGGGACCTCCGGAACTATTTCCCTTTTAATTAACTTATTAAATGAATCGTGATTGAAATTGAAATAAGAAATTTACTTTCGCAAATACAATAACATATAAAATATGTTATTAAATTTTTATAAGAAGCGCAAAATTCTATCAAAGATCAATTAGCCTCAAATCAGGCTAATACCCAAAATTGACTATGTATTTAGAGTAATGCTATTTATGAGTAATGGTGATCAATAGCAGTCTATGTCAGTGAGATCACTGCCATGTTGTATGCATGAGTAGTTTTTTAAGTATTCAACTCAGCTTAGCTCATTAGGACCTGGGAAGAACAGTTCATTTGTATGTGTTTGACCAAATCAGCATATTATTCTTAACCGATTGGCTGCTCTATGATCTTATGCATCCCATAGGTGACCCATGTTGCTGTCCAAAAAGCTAGAAATATATTAAATATTCGGTAAGTAAACAAACCTGCTCCAAGGTCAAATTGAGATCCTTCGCGATCTTCCGACACTCCCTGTATGAAAGTTTTTTATTGGGTTCATCTCTTGTCACGCACTTGAGAAGCTCAGCTCGTTGCTCAGCTGTCATTACACGAACTGACGTCCATGATCGGGAATGAAATACCTTAAAAAATTATGTTATCCACTTAGCTAAAAGAGTGCAATCAAGGATACAACCAACAATAAAACAGAAGATGAAGATTCCAAATTAATTTAATATTGTGGAACTCTGAGATCAATTTTGAACATTTACTATTCAAATTAAGATGATGGATCCTAGAATGCCCCACGAAAAATTTCAGACGTATAACCCAGCTACACGACAAAAGAGAATCAGGCTGCTAGTAGATAAAAATAATACTATCTAGCCCCATTGGTGCTAGAGCTTTAGTTTAGATGTGCACACTTGATAGATCCTATTAAATAGATCGTGTGACCTTTGTACGGACATCTAAATGTCACCGAGACTAGTGGTCTGGAGCTTAGCAACAATGGGGATGAATAACATTATTCACAGATAATCATGATTTTGATGGAAACTAAAAGCATCTTTATAACTAAGCAAAATCCCATGACCTCTATATGGTGATTTTTTGAAGAATAAGTGGTTATAAAGTAAGGAAATGTTCTGGATTTACATGCAAAATTATTTCATTAGGAGAATGTGCGGTTGAAAATGATTTTGGGTAAAAATAAGATTTTAGGAAATGGGGGCTCAAACAGAGGCAAAATAAAATAGAAGAATAATTTTTTTCTTGATAAAGCAAGAGAATAGAAATAGAGTACTACATCAACTTGCAAAGGGAAGCTATTTTCTTTTTTTTAATTAATGAGAATATATCAATTTCCGTCACTGTAGAATTGAACCACATGAAGCCGAACAGAAATTCAACTCCTGTCGACAACGATTTTTAGAAGAGAAGAAAATTTAACCGAATTTATAAAGAAGGGGCTGTTCAAGTGCATATTCCCATAAGACAACGAACATGTAGGACTTCTCATCCTTTCGACCGATCAGATATCAACAAAAATTGCTTAAAGAGAAAGGATAAGGAAACAAAACCCAACATGTCATCAGAAATGAAAATTGTCTCGCTTACATTGACGGGAGGAGAAATATTCCACCATAACCATCAATAAAGAATGGCTTACAACACACACCCAAATTAGTTATTCAAATCAAATTCTAAAGACAAATATTAAAAATTGGACATTCTTACTATACCTCATGAACTGAAGATCCAGGAAATGCGTGCAAAGCAGCTCGTGATTTAGCGGTAGCATAACAATACTCTAATGTACTCCAGTATTCATCAACGGCTTTTCTGCTGGAAAGAACAAAATCATGTCTAACTTGAGGGCGAAGATCAGGAAAAAGGAAATCGGATGATAATGCAACAGCTGAGACAGGTTCTTCGATGTAAGGTTTAAGTTCCAATGCATAAGTAAGAGTAGTATGTGAGCTGTTGGATGAATCTTCTCCATTTCCTTTACTCAAAAGGCGAATCAACTGTCCAGAATTCACAATTGATACAGCATTACCACAATGGAGTTACTACACAAATTTAAGACCAAAAACTTGAGAACTATTCACTTCTTCCAAGAGGAGAAAAGTATATAGAGAAACATAACTTGAAAATATTAATCTTTAATGTGAGTTCGAGCGCTTTTAGAGGGGTGGGCTGTGGGAAAGCTTCTTTAATAACTCCAATAGATTCTTTTATTTGTTTCCTTCTAGCTAAGTTTATAAAAATAATTCATCTTAGTGAATGCTTAGAACATAGCGGTTCACTATCCTAAAACACAAATAGTGCAACAAAGAATACATCATTCAGAAAATTCCAAGACTGCTTAGTGTGTAGACAAAGAAGCAGTTATACTGTGTTTTATATATTAAAAGTACATCTAAACACATCACCATTAAAATTAAGCCCATGGCAGAAGAGGGGGGAGGGGGGGGAGCATAGGCACATAAAATAAGTCAATTGAGGGATTACTTGCTATTTCCCTAATAAACGGCTTTCTTCCCTTTTGAACATTTCAAAACTACACTCACCCAAGTCCAAACCGAAATCTCTAACTTGAAATGCTTCTAAGCTGGCAGTGACAAGTACTTAGTTAAGCCAGAGAAGTATATGGCAATGCAGCTAGAGTCAAGGCATATATCAGAGCGCATGTGTTGAAACAAAGCACAGTCATACACCTTATTCGACACTGATTATGTGTCATACCTTCAAACGACGTAATATGTCAATTAGCCATGACAATCGTCCAGTTGCTCGAGTATCCATTAGATGCTTGGACTCCTGCACGGGAAGATCTGAAAGTCGAAGACCACTCCTACATTTCTCAATCATATCCTCAAACTTTTCAGTAGAGCCTACAACTTGTAGGAACAACTCTAGTGGCATGAACTTAATGGCCTTGTCTAATTCGAACAACTTACAAGTGCTGTGTGGATTTTTTAAGTCATAAGCATGATTGCTAGACAATAATGCATCATCCCAACCAGGGGAACTGCTGACACAACCCCATAGAAAAATGTGAAGAAGCTTTGTTCGAACCATTTTTGCTAGTACAAATCCATTAGAACGCATCACTTCTGCTCGATCTGCTTGGACATCCAATTTTATACTATTTGGAATTCTTTGTACGCTGTCCAACACAGGAATTGGTTGTCCCTTTTTCTGTCGAGAGTAAGATTGAGTGCGCACTTGCGATTCAAAAGACCTCATCCTATCATGAATTTGTCCTACTAATTCAGGTGATACATTATAAACAGACGGGTGGAGAACCACTTCTGTTGTCTTGCTGCGACCACAATTTGTCAAAGCAGGGACGCTAACATGGATACATTTACAATGTCCTTCTCGCTGAAGTTTGTTCAGAGTACGTTCTAGGGTCTTCCTGTCCATCATTGTATTCTTATTCTTCTCGAGACTCTCGAGGCGTCGGTGTAACTCAGGTTTTATAAGGAACTTCTCCTCCTATTAAAAGAGAAAAAACTTTGACAATTCGAGATAGCAACCAAAAGATCAGAAGACGGAAGAATAAAATTTAGAGGACAACCACACCTGCAGCATTTTGAGAATACGCTGCTCTCTCTGTGAGCTGACAGCACCCATGGTAAGACAAGGATACCTCGGTTGAGATCGTCGCTTAGAAGGCGTTGAAACAGCAGGAGGACACATTTCAATTGGAGCAGTGTTTACAATTTCTTTACTCACTATCTGTAATTCCTCCTGAGGAACTACATTGGTGGGTTCAGTTACAGAATTCTGTGAATTAATTGGACAAAGCAGCGTATTCCGGCCTTCAGCATCCACTTTCATACAGTTAGAAGATTCTGGTTCCACTGTAGTCCATTCATTTTCATCAATATCTCTAACATCATCATTTGAAGTTGAAGCACCTACCACCTGAATAGATTGAGCTAAATTTTCATGGGAATTGAGATCCAAAACATGTTGATTGGATTCTGTGCCTTCCAGCAGTGCTACTTCCGGTAAACTGGGAACCATATTAGTTGCTTCAGGATTGAAGTTACCAGATGACCAAACTCGGTAGCCCACACATCTATTATGGCTTTCTGCTTGTAAATGCATTCCAAATCTAGAGAACATATTAAGAAGTCGATTATAGTACGGCTTATTGCGTATTCCAAGCCTTTTACACACCTGCTAACACATAAAAATATGCAAAAACATTAGCACTCTGCACTGTGAAATTGATGCAACGAACGAAAAATATCACTTACCACTAGAAGACATCTCAAGAAAATCTAATACATATACATGATACACGCTAAGCTTCCACCAAAATAAAGAATTTGCACCATATGGCTGAAATGGAACTACCATTATCAATGGCGATTATTTTCCTCAAACATAGTTCTCTTCCAAAATGTAGAGAAAAGATAACTTCAACTCAGTAACTTGAAATGCAATCTAAATCTATCTTTCCCTCAAAGATAAACCAGAAGAAAGTGAAATTTTATAAGTCATTCTGCTCATAAATATGTAACAACAGAACTCCAAACCGAAACTAGAATGGATCTTCAATTTATTTAATTCATACCAAGAACAGGACGAAGAGGGATTGCAGGTCCGAAACAGAAAAATATCTATTTATGCACTTTCATCTATAAGTGAAGTTGATTCCAGTTCATCAAAAATATCTAAGCAATAACTTCAATGGTTATACTCTGACAGCCTGAACTTTCCAATAGAGGCAGGAAACATGAGCATTATGGCATGTCACTATAAAATATAAGTAGAATGAGCAGAAAGCGAGAATGATTAATTTAGACACCGGGAACTAAAAAATGAAAAAGAATGATAAGGAAAATAAAAGATATAACAAGATGATAGAAAAGTATATCTTGTCAGGAGCAAAAACAGAAATTAAGAAGGAAAATGCATTCCCTGTGGCTGCAAAAGAAATTAATGCACTTACTTCTGTAATTGTCAACCCTTTTGATCCCTCAGCATCAATAATATCATATACTTGGCGCAGAATGGGAAGTTCTACAAGCTGTTCTGTAGCTTGACCTCTCTTTCCCAAATTTATTGGCTGCTCCATATCTATACTATCATGCCCACGTCCATGAGATTTTGGCTCAAAATATGATGGTGAGAACTTTTTGAGCAGACGCAAACAATTAACTTCCTGCGTAATGAAAAATATGAGTAATAAACTATGCGTGAACATTCCTTCTACTTGCATGAGCACAGGTAAATCTAAAATGAGACAGGAGGGAACAAGGGGAGTGAGATTTTTCTTTTGTGAGGTTAGGACTTGACAAAGACTTATCCAATGAGAAAAAAGAACCAAGATTTCAACATTAGTCAAATCTTTTCTTAAACCAATATCAAATAAAAATCGCATGCAAATCGTATAAATCTAGTCCCATACGACAGGATTCCAATACAATGAAAATATGATAGTGTACAGGGTTAAATTTTGGTCAATCTTGACTGGCAGGTAACAACCATACTCGGCACTAGTAGGATCTTGGATCCTACCAGAAATAATTTAGAATTTAACAAATTTTACATGTGGTCGGTCTGATTTTTCGTTACTTATTGTGACACATTTTTTAAACTGAAAATGGTATTTTTATTAGTTTATGATGCACTTACAAGTGTTTCTTATATATGCCTCAACATAGCTAAAAATATTGTGATACACTATTTTATTCACAGCAGAAACCGGTATGACATACAAGAGAAAAGGATCGAGAGACTTGCTACTACGGTATTAATATTGGGTGGGTGGAAGGATAGCTAAATACAAAAGGCTCCCACCACTATGATACTGGGGAAGGCCGCAACGGTCAAACATAATAAGGTATTAAGGTCACAGAATAGAAGATCAAACATATCCAAGTCAAAAGTTTCGAGCATACCTTCTTGTTCGCCATAACACAACACTCCTCTACGACATGAGCATCTTTTAACCTGTGAAAGATCTAACAAGAGATTGCAAGGTGAATTACAGAGAAGATTATTTTACTTGTAAATGAAAAGGGAAGATACAAAATAAATAAATAAATAAGTGTCTTACATTTCTCCAAGCTCTGTGGCCCTGAGTCCCTCGATATCCAAGATCCCTCTTAATATCTGAGACAACCAGAACCTTTGGCAGCAAATACCAAAAGAAGAAGAAGATCAGCCTGATGGGACATATAAAACTGGGTTTGACAGTGGAATATGACTCACCTTGCCCTCTGCCTCTTCGAGTTTATCGCATATAGCTTTTAGTGCCGGTAGAAAATCCTTCACATGCACAACCTCTTTCGCAGTGCCTTCGCTGAAGCCATCGCCAGTTGCAGCATTCCCATCTGCAACCTCACCATCCACGAAGGGTTTATCCTCTTTAATGATTTCAAGCCTCTGTTGACTACCCAAATGCTTCGCATAACGGTATAAGTGAAGCATATTGGTGGTCACAGTGGAACCACTTTTTGGATCGCCTTCATTGCTTGATTCTTTTGTCCTAACAACAGTTGACTGTCTCACAATCAATCCCTGAGTTTCGAGTTTCTTCAGTACATAGAATATTTTGTTCCCTTTTATGCCAAGTTCCTTAGCAAGCTCACTTTGTGTAATCCCATTTGTTCTGAAAACGCAACAAATGAATCGCGCATTAATATTTAAGTTCAATTAAGTAAAATTAAACTGTGTCCAGCTAAATCTTTCAAACTCATTTTCCAACTTCGAAATCAATTAACATTATGCCTGAACCAAATTTATTACTAAACTAGAATCCAGAAAACATTAATGAATTTTAAGAACTCACTCCAACTTATAAAATATCAAACTCACGACCTCAAAATAGATAGTTAATCAAAATAATGAAGCAAAATAAGTCAATTCATTCAAGCATATATGTGACAGTAGTGAGTACAGTGACTATGTAAAGAAAGAGAAATTGAGGCAAACCGTGCAATTGCCAGGCGTTCCAGAGCTCGACGCTGGGGCTGGGAAATACCGGAATCCGAGGCCGCAACATCATAAATTCCAATAAAATTATTCCTCAGACTTTCTGGTGCTACAACTTTTAAATTCATCTGTTCCCATTCTTCAACTGAGTACTTCATCAAATCCTCCTTGGAATTACAAGAAACTTTAACTCCGCTTCCGAACTGAAGGCCCGGAATGTCCAGGAGGTTGACCCATAGGGCCCGCTTCACATCGGGGCAGAGGGATAGACCGTGGGAAGAGAGGGACGAGCCAAGTTTGGGCCATAAGTTCTGAATGGGAAGCCCATTGGCGCCTTGAGAGCATATTTCTTCCAGAGCTGAGTGGACCATGGAATCCATGCGGCAGCGAAGTTGGGCATGTACAAGACCAGTTCTGTGGTTGTCGGGGCCTGAGGCGAAGACTGTAAATTAGGCCACCCGGCCCCCGTGAAAGCAACGTAAATGCAAAATTCAACGGTGTATCATGCGACCCATTGCTAACTTAAAAAACTAACACTAAAACAACAACCAAATATATTATAAAAAAGATTTATATTATAAACTATCAAAACCAACAATGTTTCGAACAATTAGTTAAAAGTCTATATCTGATACCCAATGATTAACCTAAAGAGCAATTACAAAATATCTCAATCATCTTACAGTTAGAGTTTTCAATATAGTTATTATGTGCGCCTGGCTTGTGTAATTGTTGATCCCACAATAATCAATCATTTAAGCCGACCAAGCCGCAATTATATAAGCCGACAAAGCTTCGAATATTTTCAATCTCTTCAATAACAAGTTAGGGCAAATCATTGCTTACCTGAGAAGTAGAAGTTATACGAAAACTGTGGAGTTACACCTTTGAGAATTCCACTGTCACAACTCACGAGCCTAAAATAAAAATTTAACATCAAACGCTCAAACAAATATGAACATGATCATCAAACTTAGGGAAATAACAATTGCACGGGCGCACATTTAATCAAACTTGGAGAAATAACACATTTAATAAAAACTAATCACCAATTCACCATTAAAACAGTGTCATCAACAAAATAAATTAATTCAAATTAGTATACTGGTTGAAGAAACTGAAGTTATCTTTTCTTGAGTTCATTGACATAATAATATCTCAAATTCTCAAATATGTTTTCTCACATTTTACGTATCATTCTATCAAGCTAAGTTATTCAAATTAAGTATAAACTATTTTACATATGATAGGAGATAGCATCAGGAATCAAAATTCTAACAGCCCTTTTTCCAATTTTAACTACCCGGAATTTTCTTGAAATTCTTGCATAACTGGATAGACCTCATCAAGAAACCTCTCTCATGTCTCTGCATTTTCAAGAAAGTAAACCTTACACTATGTATACAGTATATTATCTATACAATACATACAGAAAATTTTCATTTTTCTTCTGGAATTTCTTGGAAACAAAATTTAAATAATTATGTTCATTAATTTCATATAACTACTCTCCCATTTCAATTTGCAATAAACCCTCTTCAAAGTTTAACACCCAACATTCGCCAGCCATTCCATTCCCTTTCCCTTCCCAACTCTTTCCAAGAACTTCTCTGAAATTCAAGAAAACTTCAAAACAAGAAGAGAAATCCTTCATAATGGACGAGACGACGAGTCATGCGCCTCTCTCCAATTACAGTATACCCCGGCAACCCCACGGCCTACTGCCCACTTAATAAAAAAGACCATTTATCAATTAAAATCAAGCCATCAAAATTATAATAAGTAAATGCCTAAATGTAAATGGTAAAAGGGTTGAACTCACTAGGGAAGGGAACTCGAACTCACTCGTTCGACAACAAAAATGCCCAGCCACTCGACAGAAGTCAGAAGCAATATGTCAGATCTCAGATGAAGCCCAGGTACAAGGAGTGTTTGAAAAATCACGCTGTGGCCTGTGGGCATTGGAGGTAGGAGGCCACTCGGTGTTTGAACTTACTAGGAGTCTGAGACAGTGGCCAGTGGGACTCTAGGCTCCAGCTAACTGAGCGAAGGCAACTAGCCAAGCCGCGAAGAGGAAATCTGGGATTCTGGAACTGGAAAACCTCAGGACCGGCCCTGGGCATGTGATGGTGGTTGAACGGTGGTTTTGGCGGGGCAATTGAGATTCTTTGTGCGTACACGAGAGATTGGATTTGCAGGGTTTGGTCAAGGGTTCGAAACGTTTTTCCAAGGGTTTGTGATGCTTAAAATAGTAGTGATGCAATTATAGAAAATTTTCATTTGCGGTCCCTCACTCATAGAAGGATTTCAATTTGGCTCCGTATTTAGAGGAAATAAGTGGAAATGGCCGGGTCATATTTTAACTTTGACCGTTGACTGTTTTTATTTAAAAATAAATAAAAAATGAATAATTGAATTTAAAGATCAAACCGAAAAATACTCATCCTGCTCCTCCACCTTCCATTTGTCTTCTTGTGACAAACAATGATGTAACACATAAATAAAAACACTCACTATAGTCGTGATCCAGTAAATCAGAGATTGGTCACCAGTCAACACCGTCACCAACAATCCAATCGCCGACGAACTTTTTCTTGTTGTGTTTTGGGTTGTTCTGTAAATTAGATAATGATTTTGATTATTAATATAATGGTGTGAATATTAAATTTAATATTTCTCAATTTATTGTTGGTTATTTAGGATGGATGGTTGATTACTAGGGTAGATTTAGATGTTTTTTG